GGAGCACAGGATGGGTAGAGAGGAGAGGTTCTGGGTCTACCACTGCCCTGTGTGTGACTAAGCCCAGGTTAAGCCCCCAACACACGAGAGGAAAGCTGCTAACTCCAAGCTATAGCCATGGGCCCCTGGCCCCTGCTTTCCTGCTCAGCAGAGCCCCTCCCATCAGAAATTACGGGTACTTGCACTGGGGAGGTGGCTGCTAGCTGTAGGGCCTAAGCAGAGAGCTGAGGCGTCCAAGCAATGTCCATTGGTGGGGGCAGAGGGTGCCAGGTGAGGAGGAGGAGGAGGAGGAGGAGCAGTCCTTGGACTGAGCAGTCCTGAGGGGTGGGGCAGTGCGGCTCCCGGGCAGCCCCTCTCCTTTCCAGCCCCCCTCACTCCACTCCCTATTGCCTATTTCTAAAGTCGCCTTTTCTGTCGATAAACCTCAAAACTTAATTTTATTTGAGAATTTTTTTTTTGCTTTTAAATAAGAGGTGGATTGAAGAATATTTGAATTGACTTTATATTATGCATAAATATTTATATTTTATCTAAATAACTGCGCCGTAACAAACTTTGTGTTAGATGTTTGGAACTGTTATGACCGGGGACAACTCTCCCCGTGGCAAGTTCCCCTCAGCATAAGATGTACTGGAGTCATTCGCGGTTGGAGTGGGAGGGAGAGAGGCCGTCGCGTCGGCTTTGTGCTCCGCTCCAGCTCCAGCTCCGTCCTAGGGACCAGGCACTCTTACGGGGGCGGAGGTCCTAGACTTGAAGAAGTGGGGGGTGAAGGGGTCCTGGGGGAGGGCATGATCCAAGGGGCCATTTCTCGCTTTTCTTTCTCATCTTTACTGCCCCTCCAGCTAGGTGGATCTCCTCTTATTGGCAGAGTATTTGGTAGGGAACGCAGGTTAAAATAAAGAGACACCCACCCCTGCCCTCTGTGTCCCTCCCCATCTGGTAACGGCAAGAAACCAACACCAACAAGTTCCCATGTTCCTTTACAACAAAAGGGACTGACTTTTATATAACCAAATGTGGTGTTTTAGTGACTTTTTGATAATGTACAGTTTTTTGTGAATTTAAATTTATTTCTTTCTATATTTTTAGGACCAATCTCATTTTTAATAAGGTTTAAAAAAAGGAAAAAAAAGTCTAGAGAAAAAAAACCACCTCGTTTTTGCCATGTGATGTTCCACAGGTGCGGCTGTAGAAAGTGCTTGTCATTGAATAAACCACATTTGATAGAGACTCGGAAAGACTGGCGTGTTTCTCTGGGGCAGCAGGCTGCCCGACCTCTGCTTGTGTGGTGGGGCACTCAGGGCTCCTCTTACAGTGTCACCGTGTGCCATGGCGGCAAGAGTGGGCAGGTCACTAGCCATGGATAAGACGCCAGGACGGGCTTTTGTGTTTTATTATTTTTTTTTTTTTTTTTAAAGAAAAGGTTGAAGTTCGCAAAAGTAAAGCTCTTCCAAATCACAGGGGAGCGATGGGAACCAGAAGTCGGCCGAGGAGAGCGAGCAGGAGGTAGTATTGGCAGATGTGGGAGAATATAAAACTACAGGTTTCTGGGTAAAGGGGAAATGTACAAAATGTGTTCTAAGTATAAGTTAAACCTCCTCTCCAGGGTGATGAGTGCATCCAGTGGAGCTGTCACTCACCCCAGAGACTGGCAGGAGCAGACCCATCCATTCCAGCCCATCAGTCACAGAGCCGGGCGGTGGTGGCGCACGCCTTTAGTCCCAGCACTCAGGAGGCAGAGCCAGGCGGATATCTGAGACCAGCCTGGGCTACAGAGCGAGATCCAGGACAGGCACCAAAACTACACAGAGGAACCTTGTCTCAGAAAACCCAAAAGAGAAAAAAAAATCACAAACAGCCCTCAGCTCTAGGGCGTCCTCCAGTCTGTTCTCTTATTCTCCAAAGCTGGTATTCCTGGGGTGACTAGTACCTGCCCTAGGTGGTCAGTGCACAGCTTGGGCCCTGGCTTGTCATACAGGGACTGACCTGGAGAGCTCACACCACTGTGGGTGATAGGGGAGCCAAGATCGCTCGAGAAGACAATCCGGAAAGAGCAGTTCCGGTTCCAGAACTGAAGAGTTTGCATTTGTTTCTAAGTCCGTGGAGACAAGGGCGGTGGTGATGTTAGGCAAGCCGATGCCTGTGCTCTTGTTAGATCGTGAGACTGAGGTAGTTGAGTGAGGACAAGGAAGTTGGGGATCTGCTTGGACTGTAAATGCTGATTTTGAACAAGCAGACTCCAGGAAGAGAGCAGTCACAAGGGTGATGAGGACATCGGGCTTTCTCATCACTACCACATGGAAACCATTTCCAGCGAGACTCAGCACAAAGCAGAAGAGACAAACAGAGGCTGGGTTAGCTGCTGCCGAGAGGCTCCCGGAGAGCCTGTCAGCTTCAGGACTCCAATGCTGAAAGGCACTTTTAAAAGGTGGGCTGTTCAGAAGTGGGAGTGGCTGGATCGCAGAGGAGCTGAGAAGAATCAGTGTAACAAGGCACGGAGTGGATCTGCCTCTGTGGACTTATTCTCTGGATTCAGGTCTAGAAAAGGCTGGGTAAGCGTGGACCGAACACCTGCTCACTGTATTGCCCTTGGCAGTTCTGACACTTTCCAGAAGGTGGGGTGCGTCTGCGAGGGATGGGAAGCGAGAGCAACAAGCTCTTCTTCCCCCCTCGTAGCAAACAATGCTTGACACCGTCCCATCTCTATTACTGACAAGAGCTGTTCCCTCTCAGAGGCACCTAACTTGATAAGCTGGACAGTTCTTAGTGAGAATCTCTCCATCACTGTTGCCACATCTTCCTAATTAATATCAGCATCTTCCTCCAAAAAGCCCAGGCCATCTATAGCCTGTGCACCCAGAAGGGATGCTAGCAACACTGATACGGGTTAGGCCTGGAGCCTTGTAAAGGATTACATCGTCCTGGGAATGGACTCTAGTGTGTCTGTCTGACTGGAAACAAAGCGTGAGCATCTATGGGGTGAGATACAGAGAAAGGTCTGACCTCCATGCCAGCAGGATTTAGGAACCACTGGGCATGGTGTCTCCACACTCCACTGCCTTGGGCCGTGGAGAGGCTTCCTGTGGCGTGTGGACCGTCCCTCTACAGCCTGTGTCCTTCCTTCTGTCTCTAGTCACTACCTCGCTGAGGAATGAGCCAACAAGAGAGAATGGAAATCACCAAGCAGAATTACACAGTGCCATTAACTGCTATAAAAAAAAATTACAGGTTACCCTCATTTCCCGTGTTCACACCTGTTCAACCAGAAACACTGGAATCTGACCAGTGGGAACCTCGAGAGATAACTGCACATTCTGAAGCCATCAGCAGTTTGAATTGCGTTAGAGCTACAGAAAAAGAAATGGGTTGTAAGAGGTAGTGAGGGGTGCGGTGGTCAGCAGGGCCCCCCAGTCCACTGAAGACGTGAGTGAAGAACAGAGTTCTTAAAAACCGCTAACAAGAAGGCAGCCTCCTGAGTGTCCTGTCACTGAAGGCTGGAGGCCTTTAACGGATGGGACTGACCTTCCTAAGGTTGGAAGCACCAATGAGAAATGTGATAACTTTGTTCTTTATACTGGATGTTCGCCACTGCCGTGAGCCCCTTATCCACAGGATGCACGGTACAGTCAGGCCAGGATTCCTAATGGTGCGGCATGCCCAGCTGAGCCAGTTTCCACCACCACCCCACTCAAGCCCTCCTCTTGCACACAGGCCTCTGAACACATTTCCCGTCTCCACATGTGGGGAAGGTCTCACACAAGGGTTAAAGACAGCATCTAAAGGTCCCTCCTGACCTAAGTACGGAGGAGCTAAAGTACTGCATTTTTCTATCCTAGCACCCTGTTGTCCTTCCACGAGAAGGAAAATGATTTCTGGTGTTCTTGTTCCCTGGGGAAGGGGTCCAGACACACCAGGGATGAGCAGGGCACTTCCTACATGGAGAGCTTGGTCCTTTCTCAGGCATGCACGGCACACAGTGAACGTTCTCACTTGCATCCCTTCAAACTGCATTTGGCATACACATACAACCACGAGGGAGCCCTGCTAAGACAGCTCCTGCTGAATTTCTAAGTGATTCAGCAAGGTCACAGCTGGGAGGAGAGCCTGAGACCCCAGGCAGAAATGATCCACCAAGAGGCAGAATGGACAGAATTCAAAGGAACGCAGCAGGCACTCCTGGCCAGTTACGTGGATGTTACAAGGCTCTGTCCAGGGTGGGCTGGGGATTTAGCCTACTCCAGAAGGCAGGGAAATACTTGATCTGAACTAGGTAACTCTGCCAGGGAGGGAGGAGGTGAGGTGTGGTTCTGTACGGTCAGATATTCAGGACCATCCTTGGTCTGCAACAAGTTGGTGCCAGGCATACACGCCACTCCCAGGCATGGCAATCAAAGATGACAGACATGGCAACAGCCTCTTAGGGACGAAACAACCTCCAGTTAAAGTGAAGGGATGAATTTGCTCAGCGGGGGAATGATCTTTAAACAGACTGAGCAAGGCCACAAGCAGAGGGATGGGGACTGTGAGACCTGGGAGAGAACGAAGACCCTCCAGGAGGCAGAGCAGGTGTTCCCAAACGCTGAAGCTGGCCAACACTTCTCAGACATCAGTAAGTTCATCCTTCTTGAACTTGCCACCAGGTCTGGTTAAAGGGTGACTTCCAAAGGCTGCAGTTGTCACATCTCTTCTCGGAAAGCAGAGAGAACGCCACCTCCACGGCCTGTATGATGCTCTCTCCCCCCCAGTTCCACATGAAATTTAAGTCAAATTCATAAAATTAAAAACTGCAAAAAGGCAAGGCTCAGCTAAATGGAAAAGAGAAAAACAATCTGGACAAAAAGCTAAAGAAAAGGCCAGGCGCAGCGGTGTTCTCAGATGGAGTGGGTGGGACCCTGTGAGTTTGAGAGCGAGGTTCTGGCCACTGAGACCCTCCCTACATTAAAAGGTGGTGGGGTCGGGGATGCAATGCAATGTGTGAGCTCAGAGCTTTGCAAAACAAAAAACTTCAAATCTGTATATTTAAAACACATACATCAAAAATAGTCCATAACTAAACTTGGCAAGCAGGACTCCTTCATCGATTTCCCAGCACTTTTTTTTTTTTTTTAAAGAAATCATTTTAAAAGCCTTCCTAAGTATTTCCAACAAACCCCAACTTTCTGTGAAGATGAGAAGCGGCTCAACCAGTGTAAGGTTTTCTGATCTTGGATGTGGCACATACGGAAAGCAACAACGGTTCCCCGGCTCCATCGATGGGAAAACGGCCCAAGGCAGGCACGCACAGACTTCTGTTCTCAGGCCCGGGCCTATGGGGAAATGATGGCCACAGGTTAGTGCTCAGTGTGGCCTGTAGATGGCCTGTAACCTGCTGGACCTTCTGGAGTCTGGGAACATCTCCAAAAATGGCATTTCTGTCTAACAGAGCTGTGGGCATAAGCTGAAGAGGGTGTGGAGGGGCATGACAACCTGTCAGGCTGCTGGCAAGACCACGCAGCCATCTCCCAGTGCAACACAACCGCACACCCCCAGCTTGAAGTTCTTACCTCATTACTTGCTGAACTGGAAAGGATAGACCCCATGGTCTGAGGGTGTCTCCACGGCCACTTGATTCTGCTGACCGCTGCTCTCCTGCGTCACAGCCAAGCAAAGTTACTGATGCGTTCCTACGCTCTCCTCCCACTGAAGAAGCCTCACTAACCAGATCCAAAGCTGAGTGGCATCCCCAGCTCACCCGCTCCCCAAAGGCAAGTGTGCTCGCGGCACCTGAGTTGGACAGGGTGACGCGGTACAGCTACTTTGAGAAATACGTAAGCCATTGCTCATCTTCAGAGCGTTTAAGCAACTGAAGTTGCATCCCGGCCTGAACTGAACTGAGCAGGCTGGCTGTGAACATCAGTGAAGCCTTTTCCTCCCTACACTCCTCACACCCACCAGGGAGGAACAGGATCAGCAGTGCTGTGAGAGAAAGTGCTTGCTCAGGACAGAAATCTGCCTCTCCCTGTGTCCCAGCCTCACCGCAGAGAAAGGATGCCCCTACCTCCACAGACACACTGGAAGAGGGCACGGGAGGGTACTGGGGGATGTAAGCTCCCTGCATAGCGGCCGTTGGCAGGAGCTGGAAGGGAAAAGAGCCATGGTTCTCAGACGGTCCAGAGCACTCGGGGAGCTTTGAAAAGGACTATACCTTTATGGGTGTGGGTGCTTCTTAGAAGTGTTCCCGGTGGTACTCATGTACGCTGGCCTGGAGACAGATCTGCCTTCCTAGCGTCTCCCTCCAGACCCTCGGATCCCTGCCCACCAGCTTCCCTGCACAAGTCAGGCCTAAAAGAAACCTCAGCTGCTTCATCCCTTTCTTTTGGTGTTCTGATGAATTCTGGGAAATAGGCACTGATTCCTGAGCGAATACACAAACGTTTAGAACTTACTTAGCTCCGTGACTGGGAAGCACCAGAGGAAGGAGGAAGGCAGAATGGCTATATTCCCAGCTTACAGATTCTTTTCTGTTTATCATTGTCCTTGAACTTTTGAATGTCTTCCTTCCTCAGCCTCCTGAGTACAGGGATTAGAGAGGCATTTATCCCAGGTCTGAATATACCTTCATTGACCCTGAAAAAGCACTTCCATCCTTCGTCACTACTGGCGCTAAGGAGCATTTCACAGGCAGTCCTCACTCTACAGAGTTGATATTTAGAGACACTCCTTTACCGGGCCCAGGCTGCTGAGTGACAGGTGACCCAATTGCTGAGTAAGAGGTCCCATCATGGAGGCAGGCTGGAGAGAGAGAGGGTGGTCCATCCCTGGGGTAAGAAGTGAGCCCTGGAGGAGGTAATGAAGGAAATGGTTAGGCACGCAGCCTCCTACAGACACCTCAGGCAGACTGAAGGCAAGCAGGGCCACCACCATTTATTTATTTTTTTGCTTGTTTGTTTGGTTAGTTTTGGACAGGGTCTCTATGTAGCCCTGGCTATCCTGAAACTCTCTATGTAGATCAGGCTGGCCTCGAACTCACAGAGATCCACTTGTCTCTGCCTCCCAAGTGCTAGGATTAAAGGCATGTGTCACTACACCCAGATTTTTATTTGCTTTTTAAGAATCATTTGGGGTTGGGGATTTAGCTCAGTGGTAGAGCGCTTGCCTAGCAAGCACAAGGCCCTGGGTTCGGTCCTCAGCTCTGGGGAAAAAAAAGAATCATTTATTAACTGCACTGTAAGTGGGAAGCAGACTGCAGGAACTAGAGCACTGTCTGCTGACGTTTCCAAGTCCTGGGAATTAACGTGAGCAGCAACCCGGCTCGAATAGGAACAGCACCCTGACCTTCAGTCTGCAAAGGCTTTTGTCTAAGAAATCACGGAATTAGGTCGCTGTTGGGTTGCACAATGCACGAAGCCAGGACTCAGCCCACAGGACCGTGTTATCAAAGGCCTTTGCGTTTCTTTAAGTCAAATTGTCTCTCTTGTTTCTGCCCACTTCTGAACACTCACTGAAGGCTGCATGAGGTACGACTGGTGTTGCATCCAGGATGGGTTAGGTACTTGTAGAGATGTCTGAGTCACTCTCTGATATAAGCAAAAACAAATAAAAATGTTAACTGCCTAGGCTCAGTGACTGAGAATGTTCAGCAAAGTCCCCCACAAACTGACATGTCCCGTCAGAACACAAACATCAAGAAGAAGCTGTTTTCTCCAGGCATGGCGCTGGCACGCCTTTAATCCCAGCACTTGGAAAGCAGAGGCAGGTGAATCCGAGTTCAAGGGCAACCTGGTCTACATAGAGAATTTCTGGCCAGCCAGGGCTACATAGTGAGACCCTGTCTCAAAAACCTTAAAAAAGCAAAAGGAAAAGAACAAGCTGTTTACAAAATATTAGCAACTTATAACTCAGATAACCCAGTTAAAACTAAGCAAAGGGCCAGGTGGTGATGGCGCACGCCTTTAATCCCAGCATTAAGAAGGCAGAGGCAGGTGGATCTCTGAGTTGGAGGCCAGCCTGGTCTATGAAGTGAGTTCCTGGAGAAACCCTATCTTGAAAAAACAAACAAACAAACAAACAAAAAGTAGGCAAAGGGTCATGAAGGTAGGTAAGGCTCACCAGGTAAAGGCATTTGCCACCAAATCTAAATCTAAATCTACCCAGAGAGTAGAAGGAGAAAACCTTCCACAAGCCTTCTGACCTACACACACACACACACACACACACACACACACACACACACACACACACTTGCGGCCAAGTCTGGTGACCCCGGAGTTCCATCCCCAGAACCCGCACGGTAGGAAAGGGACTTGTGCCACAAGCCTTCTGACCTACACACACACACACACACACACACACACACACACACACACACACACACACACGGTGGGGGGGATGACAAGAAATAGGATTTTTAAAAAGGTATTGGGGGATGGCTCGGCCAGCAGTTAAGAGCCTTGCTCCTCTCCAAGGACCCCAGCTCGGTTCCCACCACCCTCATTGTAGCTCCCAGGCATCTGTAACTCCATTCCCAGTGGATCCAGCACCTAACCTCCTTGGGTTCCAGGCACACATGAAATACATACACATACATAGAAGCAAAACACTCATACACATAAAGGACTTAAAGATGTGAGAATAATTAATACATGTTAAATGTGGTTCTGTTTTTATAAAATGAATTACTTCCAAAGTCCTATATATATATATATATATATATATATATATATATATATATATATATATTCACATGAAAGTGAGATGTAGTAGGAATCAAACATGCATTTACTTGGGTGGTGAAAGAGAAAGATATTTTTTTTGAGGCAGGGTCTCTATTATGTAGCCCCGGCTGTCCTGGAACTCACTCTGTAGACCAGGCTGGCCTCGAACTCACAGAGATCCACCTGTCTCTGCCTCCCAAGTGCTGGGATTAAAGGTGTGCACCACCATACCAGCTCAAGAGGATGCCTCTGAAAGTGTTGTTTTCGTGTGTACAATGTAGAAAAGCTTTATATTCCTTCACTTAAACCACCATGCCTTACCTGGTAGGAAGACACGGGAGATGGAAGATAAGGGGAGAGCGCAGACTGAGCGAGCATCCTGCTGTGGGCGAGGCTGTAAGGGGCTGGGTAGAACCTGTGGAAAGAGCTTTGTTCAGTGAGACACCCCACAAAACCAGAGCCGCCTCCACTACCTGATATTTGGGAATCAAACACCCAAGTGCCCGGACACGAGCCCCTGACATTTCCCCCTTACCCATTCTGAAGAGCTGCCGTGGGGTCATACGTCACGGCCATGCCACCCTATAAGGAAGAATACAGGGTTCTTATTTTGAGCCCAGAGCATCCACGAGTCCCACTGCAGGTTTCTGGAACTGTGCAGGTTGCAAAACTGCCCTGAAGATCAGGGCACAACCCGCAGGGCACAGCCGTGGAGACCGCCCTCAAGCTTGCCGCCTAGGCGCACGGAAACCGGGCCGCGCATGCGCGCGCGCGGCCATTCCCATCCCACTCCAAAGCCTTCTACCATGTCCCCGTTCCTTGGCCAGGCCCGTCCGTTCTGCACAAATTTTCCTTGGTGCTGTCGTTTCTTTGGCCCGCCATCGGCAAACTTGCAAAGCAAGGGGTCAGACGGTGCTGGCGAGAGACAAAAGCAGACGGGCGCTGGACGGCCGCACTTGGCACGCACCCCTCCCGCGGCTCCCAGCCGGGGTCCCAGAGCCCTCACCTGCCACTCCAGGGGGCGTCTTAAGATACTTCCCATTGAAGTGGGTGATGATGGCTTCACACTTCTCTGTGGACTCCATCCTAAGAAACACAGGAGGACCAAGGCTCTCACCTGCCCGGGACACGCGCTCTACACACGTTCACTGGGGCGAACCCGGGTCCCTAGCCCCATGCATGCTCAAGAAGTTACACGTGGTTCGAAGAGGAGTTTCCGTCACATATGTTCATTTCAAGGCACCTGTGTTTCCTTTTTTATCTTTTTTAAGACGGAGTGTGTGTGTACTCCTCAGCTATCTGAGGATGACTTTGATCTTCCGAGACTCCTGCCTCGCTGGGAGTCGCAGTTGCACAAACCCTCCACCATGTCTGGCTTTTATGCCGCGCTGAGGACTGAGCCGCGCTGAGGACTGAGCCAGGACAGCATGCACTTGTGACGAGCACGCACTCTGCTGACCGAGCTCCTCCCTGGCCCTTTACTGTAAAATTCCTAATGGATGAGAGGGTTCCGCGGGTAAAGGCACCTGCCAACAGGACCAGCAACCCGAGTTCCATCGCTGGAACCACACGGTGTTAGGAGAGAGCCAACTCCTGATGACTGTCTTCTGACCTCGACACGTGCGCCATAACGCACAAACACGCACAGATGCACACACAATACGAATTAATTTAAATGGTTTTCAAGTGTCACCAGGCGGTGGTGGCGCACGCCTTTTATCCCAGCACTCGGGAGGCAGAGCCAGGTGGATCTCTGAGTTTGAGGCCAGCCTGGTCTACAGAGTGAGTTCCAGGACAGCCAGGGCTAAATAGAGAAACCCTGTCTGGAAAAAAAAAATTTTTTTTTTTCCCAAGTGTCTACTGAACTAAAAAAATTCCTAATGGTGCCAGCATGGTGCCTTTAATCCCAGCACTCGAGAAGCAGAGGCAGGTGGATCTCTTGAGAGTTCGAGGCCAGCCTGGGTCTATTTATCAAGTTCCATGACAGCCAGGGCTACAGGGAGACCCTGTCTCAAAAAAAGGGGGGAGGTGGGGTGGAGAAATGCTTCAGTGGGTAACAGTACTTCTTGCTCTTGCAGAGGACCCAGGTTCTGTTCTAGGCACTCACATGACGGCTCACAACAACCTGTAACTCCAGTTACGGGGATCTGATGCCCTCTTCTGACCCCTGAAGGCGACCGACTCACACTTGGTGCACACATATACACGCAGGCAAAAGACTCCTATCCATAAAAAATAAATATGAAAAAAGCTTTAATTGCTTATTTGATGAAACTGTACAAGCTATGATTGTGTTGATATCTATTTCCATCTCTGGCGATAATTATCAAGGTCCAATTATCTATGACATTGTTAGGATTGGTAGTAAAGAGCTCATGAGGCCAGCGAGATGGCTGGGTGGGTACTACAGCCAAGCCTGATAGCCTAAGTGACCCCAGAACCCACACAGTGAAAGGAGAATGGACTCCTGTGAGCTGTCCTCTGGCTTCCACATTAGTGCTCTCGGGTTCTTCCCAAACAACTGATAAATACTCTCTGAAGTGGGTGAGGGCTCATGCTCCATAGTGATAGCCAGGCACGTGTTAGGACCTGCTCCATGGCAGCTTCCTGCTGGGGGGAGGGGGCTGGGAAAGAAATGACATATGTGCCGGCCCACTCGCCACCCACAGCTGTCAGATCACTCAGGAAAGCGCTGACTCTGTCCCTCCCCTGTACACTAGACACAGTCCCCACAGGCCCAATCACTTCACGGGTCCTGCTTGTTTGGGATTTTCTGGAATGGGATCTTTCTGGAATGTGGCCTGTGTTCACTCTCAACGGTCTCAGTCTTCACGTGCTGGGATTTCAGTAGCTCTACACTGGGGCTGGCAAGATGCTCAGCGGGTCAAGGAACCTGCCAATCTAACGTCACTTAGCCTGGCCATGAGGACTCCTGCAGGTCTAATGACCTGCGTTTGATCCCCGGAACCGTCATGGTCCAAGAGGAAAACTGATTCCTAAAAGTTGTCCTCTGACCTACACACCCCTGCCACGGCACACCCACACATACACACACACCCCCACACACAAACTCACAAAATAAATAAAACGTAATAGAAATATAAATGAGCAAACACATTCTGACAGTTTTTTAATCCCAGCTACTGGTGAGTTGGGATTCAAAATCTACCTCAACTACAGAGTGAGTTCGGGGCCTGTGTGATGGTCAGATTAATACAACCTAGAGTCACATGGGTCGTCTCAGTGCCTCCGGGGGACTGTCTTCAATTAGCTCATGTGGGTGGCACCATTCCCTAGGCAGGGGACCGTAAACTGTGCGACTGGCAGGTGGGCGTTCATGAATTCATTCCGTCGTGGGTTTTGGTGTTTGTGATAGGGTCTCTCTATGTACGCCTGTTTAGCCTGGATCTTAACTCTACAGACCGGGCCTTAAACTCCACCTACTTCAGCAAGCATCCACACCAGCTGCCCTCTCGTCTTGACGGTGGGTGTGACCAGACCAGCTGAGTCCCCACCGACTTTCCTGAGACGGACCATAACCAAGAACCTTGAGTTGAAATACCCTCTTTGCTAAGTCGTCTTTCGTTGGGGTATTTTATCACAACAACAAAGAGGAAACGAGGGCCCGCCGTCACAAAATGAAAAAAAAGGTGGAAACGAGGGCCTGCCATCACAAAATGAAAAAAAAAGGTCGGGGATGTAGCTCAGTGGCAGACTGCGCCTAGCAGCCTAGCGTGACTGAAGTCTGGGCTTCAGCCCGCACTCCAAAGACGACAGACAGGCACAGGGGTGCGGAGATGGCCCGCTTGGTAATCCACGTTCAGTCCCCAGCACCCACAGAAAAGCCAGGTGTGACGCCCCGGTCCACACACTTGTGCAAGCCTAGCTCATCCTCGCCGCCCCAGCCCCCAGACTGTCAGACCATTTAATTACTTAACGCACTGGATATTTCTTCTGGTACCGAGGGGAAAGTGCTATGCTAACTAAGGGCGCCATGAAATGAGAACATCGGCCCCAAAGTGAAGAGCTAGCGTGGCCTGTTGGCCCAAGTCTGTAGTTCCCGTATTTAGGAGGTGGAGGCAAGAGGATCTCAAGTTCAAAGACAGACGGGGCTTCACATCAAGACCATAGCATGTCTCAAATTTAAAAAAATCAAATTAAAATTAAAAAGAAAATGTACGTCAAAAATCGATTAACACAAGCCCAGTGAATTTTCCTCTTGTAATACCTGGAACTGCCATTAGGTGGCGCTACTCAGATTGAGCCTGTTAAAAATTTTTTCCTAGCCACAGCCTCTATTATTCAATTAATAAAATAAATAATAACTAAGTGGATGGATGGATGGATGGATGGATGGATGGATGGATGGATGGATGGATGGATGGATGGATGGATGGATGGATGGATAAATAAATAATAAAAAACTGAGGGTGGAAAGATGTTTTGCTCTTTGAGACAGGGTCTCATGTGGTCCAAGGGCTCCCTATTCTCCTGTCTCTATCTCCCAAATGTTAGTTAGGATTACAGGGTGGGTCATCATCCCAAATTCACTCCCGGTCTCTGAATCACTGACTAAGGGAGTATTCATGAACAGATAAGGGATTGAAACTCAAAGGGTGATCCTCAAAATTGACTTTCCTACCTAGGCCCTCCAAGCGCAGGGATTACAGGAGTATACAATACCAACACAGCTTTCGTTTTTTATTTTGAAGACAGGGTCTCCTGTAACCCAAATTGACCTTAAACTTTTATTTATTATGTATTCAGTGTTCTGACTGCATGTATGTCTGCACACCAGATCTCATTGCAGATGGTTGTGAGCCACCATGTGGGTGCTGGGAATTGAACCCAGGTCCTCTGGAAGAGCAGACAGCGCTCTTAACCTCTGAGCCACCTCTCCAGCCCGACCTTGAACTTTTGATCCTTCTGCCTCCACGTCTCAAGTGCTGGGAATACCTGGAGACACTTCACCAAACACCCATCTCATCCCACGCTGGAGGTCAAACTGGGGTTTCCTGCATGCAAGGCAAGCGCTCTACCAACTGAGCCACATTGCCAGTCTGTTCTGAGACAGGGTTGAGACCTAGGTAGCCCTGGCTAGCTTAACATTTCCTGTGCTATCGTACGCTGGCTTTGAACCTGCAGTGGTTTTCCTTCTTTGGTCTCCTGAGTATTGGAGTTTGTGAGCAAGTTTGTGTCTGGCTCAAAAAAAAAATGTCTTTACAGCAATTTTTTACACATATTTATTTTGCGTGTGTATGGGCATGTGAGTCGGGGGTCAGGGGGCTCACGGGAGTCTCTCTCGCGACCACATGAGCCTGGGGGGTCAATCTCAGGTGGGCAGACTCGGCAGCAAGCACCTTTACCTGCTAGGCCGCCTTGCCAGCACCCGAACGAAATCTTAAAATTAATAAAAGCAAAATTATTTTTTAGGTAGGCTAGGATCCGCTGAAGCTCTGTGACACACGAGCCCAGAAGAGGGCAGCCTAGAGAACAGGAGAAGCTAAGGCCTGTCGATAGCCAACATCCGGACGGTCGGTCACTGCAAGGGTTGCTCTCCCTAAAGATGTAAAAAGTGGGGCAAAGCCTCCGCTCCGTCCTGCTGCTGTGAGGACCAGAGCTCTGGGCTGCTGTCCAGTCTCGGTTGGGGGAGGCAGTGGGGGAAAGCACCAAGTGTGGACAGCTGGGACACATGGCAGAGCATGCCTAGAATTTTTATTACATTTTATATATTTA